CGACGGCACATAACAACAACAACAACAACAATACTAAGGCAGAAAGTTGCTTGTATTCATTCCCAAAAGTGTCATGAATCACTCTTGAATTAATAGCGCATGTCGTTGTTGTTATGTGCCGTCTAGTCAGCCAACTCATAGCAACCCCTCCTTGGGTTTCCGAGGTAGTATCACTACGGAAATAGATTACGCAACCTTCCTTCCAAGGAGTGGCTGGGGCATTTGAACGACCAGCCTTCTGGTTAGCAGTTAAGTGTGTTAGGCACTACACTACCAGATCTTAATTATTTGTGTCACTGAGGGACAGAGAGAAGTGAAAAGTCAAAAATGGTGGGTAATCTCTAGTCACATCCCTTTGATTTTGAGATTTCTTATTGTATCTTGTATTTGGAGACAAGTATGCCTGATGTTAAGGGAACTTCATGTATAGAATAATCAGGCCATACTGCCCTCCAGTCCAAAGCCCCTAAAATGCATTTCCTTTAATGCTGAACTAATTCAAAGCAGACGTATGGATTAAAGTTCTTACCAAAATTATTGGAAACAAAAAAGGGTTGTTTTGTTTTTGATGAGCCACTCTAGTTGTTATGCAATATTTATAAGTATATTTTCTATATCTACTTAATTTCTGCTTCCTGGATCTGTGTTTAGGCTTTTTTATGTCTATAGGAGCTTCTTTCCGTTTAAGTAGAGAGGGGCTATTCTTCCTCAGGGATGAGAATAATGCAACCCTCAGAGGCCACTTTCTGGAGGTTACAGTGGAGGTTGGAGATCTCCAGGCATTCTAAGGGGAGCAAAATAAAGGTCCCCAGGTCCTCGATTTATCCCTAGAAAGTCATTTTATCTCCTCTGTGCCTGCCTCCACTGGGGAGAGAAGTAATGTAGCTGTCATTCAGTATGCACATAAAGTGTGCATAATAAAGGGCTATGGAATGGATCAAGGAATAAGTCGATTTGCCCATAGTAATTCATTAAAGGACAGCAGCACAAACCTGGAACCAAAATTGAGATGCTGTTTTTCCCTGGATTCTGAATATCTGTGTTCTTTTGCGGGCCAAGGGAAATTGGAATCGATATGTCCACATAATATAGTATTTTTATTCAAAACCTCGACTTTTGTCAAATAAAGTAGCACTGTGAAGTAATAAATCTTGTATTCACTGTATTTGACATTCACGTATATTATTGGAACCTCAAACTATGCTTAGAATAATTCAGTGAAAGGAATAAGATGATGGATGAAATAATAATGACAATAAAATAATTTTTGCCTTTTTCTTTTTTTTTCAGGATATCTTGGTTACACTAGTGGATTTTCCTTGAGCTGTATGGTTTTTTTCCTAATAGTGGTAAGTGCTGGTTGAAATGCTTACTTTGGTTTTACCAGACTATAATGCCACATACTTACTCATATTTGGCTTTATTTGATAAACTGTCTATTGTGTTTCTCCTATATTTTTTTAATGCCAGGTTATCTATAAGAAATTTAAACTTCCTTGCATTGTTCCAGAGCTAAATTCAACATTAATTAATAATTCAACAAATGCTGACATGTGTACGCCAAAATATGTTACCTTCAATTCAAAGGTAGGTTTCCTTCTCCTTTAAAGATTAAAAAAAAAAAAATTTTTATTAAAGACATTATATTTCTTTTACTTGTTCTAATTACACTGTTTTGGATGTATTAGTTATCAAAAGGTCACAGTATCATTGCTTCCCTATTCCCCCACCCATTTAGAGACTTTAATTAAAAAAAATACAAATATTATATATATTTCATGCTCCCTCTTACTTGGTTTACATGTAGGACAACTTTAAGCATTCTCTTTGTAAATCTCTGTCCAGAGAATTATCTCAGCTCTTTTCATCCTGTGTTGAGAGGACTGGGTGATACTTAAAAAAAAAAAAAAAGATTAGTAATATCCTTAACCAGTTGCTTCTTCTGTGTTTGTTGTTATGTGCTGTCACATTGTCTCTGACTCATGTTGTTGTTGTTGTTGTTGTTATGTGCCGTCGAGTCAGCCCTGACTCATAGCGACCCCTCCTTGGGTTTCCGAGGCAGTATC